CACCATATAAGTCTTCCGGTCGCAGGGCAGACGAGGCTGTGGTTCATGCACACTGTTAGTCCTGTAGACTAGTTTCTTCTCTGAGTCTGGTTTCCTTCTTTCTCTTTTGCTCTGGACAAGAAGAGACCAAGAGTTGTAGCTTAGATGATTGTTTGTAAGCTTTTAAGACCCCAGACACTACTCACCTCACTAGGATGTAGAACATAAACTTCGTGGACTATATTATGTCAATTGACCAAGATGTTCCACAAGACTATGGTTCGATGGCTTCAAACCCAGGAAACCAATCCAGTGAGGTTTTTGGTTATGTCTAAGAAGCGTTCACAACATAAAGACAACAGAAATCCTCACAACTGGGCCAATAAGCAACATCTTGATAAACGAAGAAAATACTTAAGTTGCCAAGGATTTCATTTTACTTGGATCCATAATCAACACCCATGGAAGCAGCAGTCAGGAAATCAAACGACATATTGCACTGGTCAAATCTGCTGTAAAAGACCTCTTCAAGGGGTTAAAAAGCAAAGATATCACTTTAAGGACTACAGTGTGCCTGACCCAAGCCATGGTATTTTCAATGGTCTCATTTGTACACGAACGCTGGACAATGAATAAGGAAGACTGAAGAACTGATACTTCAGAATCATGGTGTTGGCAAAGAAATATACTGTGGACTGCCAAAAGAACAAACATATCTGTCTTGGAAGAAGTACAGCCAGAGTGCTCCTTAGAAGCAAGAATGGCGAGACTTCGTCTCATGTACTTTGGACCTGTTAGCAGGAGATACCAGTCCCTGGAGAAGGACATCATGCTTGGTAAAGTAGAAGGTCAGCAAAAGACAGGAAGACCCTCAACAAGATGAACTGACATAGTGGCTGCAACGATGGGCTCAAGCACAGCAACGATTGTGAGGATGGGCAGGACTGGACAGCATTTTTTCTATTGTACACAGTACGGTCGCTATCAGTTGGAACCAACTTATCAGCACCTGACAACAAGAAGTATCCATAACTTCAACCGCTTTGGCACCGAAAAAGGAGACAGACAAGTGGTAACTCACGGAGCAGACCTGAGAAAGCTGAAGCCTAAGCTGTCAATGCGAAAATCAGAGAGGCACCCCACTTATATCACAGAACTTCCAGAAGGCCTAGGAATTGATGGAATCCAATCTTCCTCTGGAAGGAATAAAGGTGGAGCTCAAAAAAGCAGAACTGGCTGAAAGCCTGTTGACAAGCTAAGCCCTCCCAGATCTCTCCTGTACCAAGCGGCCAGGACACTATTCCTCCCCAGCCCTGAAAAATTACTGGGCATTTTAATTCAGGAGAGCATTTCTGGAGAGGAATCAGGCATGATTAAGGATACACACTAAAAACAGAGGTATTAATGAAACATTACAGACTGAATACTGAGAAGCCCTAGCTTTCCCCTCCTGCTTAGTTCCTAGAGTGCTGGCAGTCAGATCCCTCTCCTCCAGAAAGGAGACTGGAAGTGTCTTCCCTGGGGATCCTGATCACCATTAAGACGGAAGGTGCCAAGACAGTGACAATGAGAGTCCCCCAAGGAAAACTGCCCAGCACACTCGCCCCACAGAGGAGTCCACGTGTCCAACCCCAAACAGCCTCTGATCAGCGTCCTAGTGCCCCAATCATAATGTGGGCAGACACCCAAAGATCACAAGTCCCATGAGGCAAGTATCTAGTGTGAAAGATAGAAAATAAGCAGAGCAATGCAATTTGGTTGAAATGTGTATTATGCAGGGAAAACTTTTTAAAAAAAGCTTTTATATTTATCAACAGAAAGAAAATACTGCACCCATAAAATAAGAAGAGGATGCAAAACAAAGAACATTCAAAGAACAAAAGGAATGTTTGGAGATTAAAAATAAAATGGTTGGAATTAAAATAGAGGGATCAGACGATAAAGTTATAAAATTATGGAAAATGTGCAGAAAGTAGAGCAAAAAGATTAAAAAAAAAAAAGATAATTACAGAGAACCAGTCTAGAAGGTTTAAAATCTGAATAACAAAACTGCCAAAAATAGAGAAAATATAAGGGATGACAGGGTTGAAGACTAACTCAGGAAATTTCCCAGAATCTGAAAACATGAATTTCCAGATTTAAA